TCTAGGTGGCCAAGTTAAAGACTCATATGCCCTGTGGCAAAAACCTTAAAAAAAGCAAAAAAGATTCAGGGTCACCTTTAACCCTTATGTTCTTTACTCAAGCAGTTATCTGGTCTTTTCTAGTTTCTCAAGTTCCTCTTGAATACATTCCTTCTTCTCATTTCTTTTTGTTTGTTTGCTTTAAGACAAGGTCTTGCTGTTGCAATCCTCCTGCCTCAGCCTCTTGGAGTCACTGGGATTACAAACACACACCACCATGCCTGGGAGGTTGGGCAGAGAAGAGAACTCAGGCTTCCTGTGTGGTTGCAGCCTGTGGAGCAGTGTCTTAACAGCAACTGGTACCTTGCCTGGCCTTCCATTCCTTTTTTGCTAGCACATTATGGATGGATGGCTCCAAGAACCTCCATCCTGAACTTCTCCAGCATAAAACTTCATTCTTCAGCACTTTTCCCCTCATATCTCTTCCCCAATACAAGAAGCCACAAGGCTGTCATACTGCCACATTGAATCTGAACTTACCCCCTTGTTGTCAGAGTCACCATTTAGGGTCCACTCTATTTATTTAACCATATTTTCCAATGCACTTAGAAATATGTTCTCATATTTCCACAAATGCCTTTTCACACTACATAATTTACACGTCTCTTTTTCCCTGTTAATCAGGAATGTCAGAGTTTATCTTAGTCTCCATAGGAATTAGAACAAAGCACAGTTCTCAGTAGATATATAAAAGGGGCTTGCTGAATAAGTAGATTGTAGGATAAGATCAAACAGGAAGTGGGGCTGGCAGGTGGTGTGGTGATTAAGGTGCTGGACTCCCACATGGCTGATTGTGGTTCAAGTCCCAGACTTGGCAACTTGCTTTCTCTCTTTTCCTTTCTCTCTCTCTGATAACATTTAAAATAATAATAACAAATGAATAAATCTTTTAAAAAAATCAAACAGGAAGTTATTGGAGTAAACCAGCCTTAAGTGGCAGCCAAAAGAGTGACAAAGTCCCCCTCTTCAAGATTCCTGTACCACCTGTACTTTCACAAGTACACCCACAACACTTACTGCACTTTAAAGCACATCTCTAGCTGTGTGATTTGCTTAATGCACATTTCCTCATTCTATTATAAATGCCACGTGGAAGAGACAGGGCTTATTCTGTGCAATATCCCAAGGCGCGATGAAGGAGTTCAAGAAATGTGCAATGGGTATTATTTGGGTGAATGTCTAAGAATCTTCCCTTTAATGAATGTGGAGTCCACATTAGCCTCTACACCCCGCTACCACCAAACATTCCTGCCTCCTCTCACTACACACACCATTCTCGCCCATCCTCTACAAACCGACGTTTATAGCCTAACCTAACTCTCACTTGCTTCATGAGAATTCCCCTGACTATTCCAGATCCTTGATCTATCTCTCATGATTTATCTTGGGCTTCTTATCAGATCTGTGTCATACATAGCACCAATGACCTTTCTTAATGAGATCATTATTGCTTTATGAACTAATTGCTTCTTGTATGCAAAATCTTTTCTAACTAAATATAACCCCCTGTAGATAAACACCATATATTTCTCTTGTATCTTCTAATACCTTGTGCAATACTAAGCATCCAGCTGGCTCTCAACAAATACTCACTAGTTACTCAAGAAAAAATTATGCCAGTTGAGAGCTTTATCAGAAGGGAAATCAATTGTTGCAGAGGTGAAAAAAACACCTTTTTTGTTGTATGTGAGTTTAATCAAAGTAATTCAGATAACTTAGAGAATAATATGTCTGTACCTTAATTTGTGATAAATATGTCCTTAAGGTGATATAGTATTAAACTTTAAATGCTAGTTTAAACTTAGGAGGAGCTTACCAACAGAATAAACCCAACTTCAAGTCATTTTCTAAAGCAAATGACTCCTCCCCCAAGTCTTCACTTATCACATGCTAAACTAATACTTTACTACCAGATGATTCTCTTATAAAAGAATAGGACTTGGGGGAACCAGCAGTTAGCGTAATGGCTATGTCGCTGGACTCCCATGTAGTCGACCACAGTTCGTGTCCCGGACCCGGTGGCTTAAAACTCACGCCGGGCGTGTGTGCGTGTGTGCCCAAGATCCCGAGAGGAGAATGGAGGAGAAGGGATTGCGGCGTGACCATCCCCCCTGGGGGGTGATTTCTCGCTTTCTGTCTCTATGTCTCTCTCTGTCTGTCTGGCGAGCGCACGCGCCCTACAGTGAAAATCTCTCCAAACAAACAAACAAACAAACAAAAGAATAGGACTTGGGAAAGATGATGGACTCTGAGGAGAAAACACCTGGAGGAAATTCTCATTCCGGTTTATATGGAGAGTGTCATATGTTCTCCTCGATCTCAGCCTCTACAGTCATTACTCAGAGCTGGCTTGTAAAGAATAATTTGTGTAGGGATCAGCAGTTGGTGTAATGGCTATGTCGCTGGACTCCCACGTAGCCGACCGCGGTTCGCGTCCCGGATCCGGTGGCTTGGAACTCACGCTGAGCGTGTGTGCATGTGTGCCCAAGATCCCAAGAGGAGAATGGAGGAGAAGGGATTGTGGCGTGGCCATCCTCCCTGGGGGATGATTTCTCGCTTTCTGTCTCTCTGTCTCTCTCTGTCTGGCTGGCGAGTGCACACACCTTATGGCAAAAACCTCTCTAAATAATAATAATAATAACTTGTGTATTACTGGGTTGTCAGAAAAGTCATGGCACATTTTTTTCTATGTTTTTCTATGCAAAATGAGTCATGACTTTTCTGACAATCTAATATATTATTAGGGCAATAAACAAAAATAGAAAATAAGGGGAAAAAAGATACACTTGGCATTAATCCTTATATCCATTTATTCGTTTACCAGTTCCACAGTACTTAGTGAGCATCTAATATAACACTACATATGCTTGGTACTATGGGACATGAGAAATGGATCCGACAGGCTTATACAGTCCTCTAAGGAAATGAAGGAAGACCGTGCTGACTGCCTTAAGAGAAGAACAAATACATCAGGGACCAGCAGGTGGCATGGTGGTTAAGGTGCTGGACACTCCCACATGGCTCACCACGGTTTGAGTCCTGGACCTGGTGACTTGCTTTCTCACTTCCCCTCTCTCTCTCTCTCTCTCTGTCAAATTAAAAATAAATGAATGAATAAATAAAATTTTTTTAAAAAGAGAAGAACAAATACAATGGTGTAAGAATTCAGAAAATGGAGAACACTTCTTCTGGGAGAATTGGGAATGTTTCTTAGACTAGGAAACATCTGATATGGCCTACACATGCAGAGATGTGAAGAATGAACACATAAGCTCAAATAACAGGATGGCAACAGCATCCAGAAAGAAATAAATGTTCTGTCTGGCTTTGGGGAGGGAAACAAAAAAAATAAGGTTGGAAAGCTGGTTGAGGCCAGCTAAAGAGGTGCTTGAAGACCAAGCCAAGAATTATGCATTATGAAATTCTGCATTTCTAAAATCGCAGATAGTGCTAAATATTGGGACACTATACCTTGAATATCAAGAACACAGACAATGGGGAGCTATTGAAAGTTTTGCACAGAGAAACTGCTTGACCCCGTGTTCCAGGAAGTCTAAATCTGATCATAGTGAAGCAGGCAAACTGGAATAGAAAAAAAGCTACAGACTGTGGTCCTCGGCGCTGGCCGTTCATTAGAATCACCTGGGAAGCTTTTACACCCTCCCCTTATCTAGGCTCCACTCCCAGAGATTCTCAGTTAATTGGTCTGGAGTGGGGCCCAGATTTCCATATTTTTAAAAAGTTCTCCAGGGCATTCTAATGTGCAGTCAGGGTTGAATTCCTCTGTTAGAGATGATGTAGTAAGTACTGCAATCATTCAGGCAAAAGAGGATGATCTAAACTAGAGACATGGTAGTTGGGGAAAAAAATGAAGCAGGCAGTTGTAGACAATATGATAAACAGAGAAGGAACAGATCTCAATAGCTGCCTAGGCAGGGATTTAGACACATGACAAGGATATCATATCATTGCTTTCTTCTGGTAAAGGCAGTGCGGTGAGTACAGACCCTGGAGCCAGACTGCCAGGGTTGGAATTTCTGCTGTACTATTTACTAGGTGTGTGTGTGTGTGTGTGTGTGTGTAACCCCTAGGTTAAGTTCCTTAACCTCTTCATGCCTCAGTTTCCTCATCTGTAAATTGAAATTAACAATAAAAACCAACATATGGAGTTGCTGTGGGGATTAAATAAAATGACATACATACATAAAGCCCTTAGAACCATTCCTGGCACATAGAAAGAGCTGTAAAAGTGATTACTGCTGGGCCAGCCCCATAGCTTGAAAAGCACATGCTGAGTACATATGCGTGTGTGCCTCAAATTCTAACAGGATGGAAAAGTGGAGTAGAAGGGATTGCGGTATGACCACACCCCACTGGAGGGTGCTTTCTCCTCTCTCTCTTTCTCCCTGTAAGTGCACAGACCCTCTGGACACTAAAACAAAAAGAAAAACGTGTTTACTATTATTATTAGCATGGTTCATCAATTTTTTCAGTCTCTCCAGCATATTCAACTGCAGAGCTGAAAAGAGGACAGAGAAGGAACCAGCAGTTAGCGTAATGGCTATGTCGCTGGACTCCCACGAAGTCGACCGCCGTTCGCGTCCCGGACCCAGTGGCTTAAAACTCATGCTGGGCGCATGTGAGTGCGTGCCCAAGATCCCAAGAGGAGAATGGAGGAGAAGGGATTGCAGCGTGGCCATCCCCCCTAGGGGGTGATTTCTCACTTTCTGCTCTACGTCTCTCTCTGTCTGTCTGGTGAGCGCACACGCCCTATAGCAAAAATCTCTCCAAAAAAAAAAAAAAAGGACAGAGCTGGAAAAAAAAGTCCTTAAGGGATTTCAACCAATTTGAAGTTACTGGCTCATGGATCTAACTGGATCTAAGTGGTGTATCCTATCTCCTTCCACCCACCCGGGACCCCACTCCCAAGGCCTCTGAGAGTAAAGACACAGAGTCCCTACTTGAATTGCTGATCCTTGGTGCTGCGCGTCTTGGCCAGGAAACGTTCAGCCAACTTCTCCAGGTTGCGAGAGTAGTCCATCTCAATCTCAGCCTTCTTTCGGAAGAAGTCCTGGAGGTCCTGCAACAGCTGCACCCGGAGCTCACACTGCTGGTCCAGACATTTCATCTGCTCTGTGAGTTGAGCGCGGATCTCTGCAACGAAAACGAGGGTAGAGAGTCAGACAGCATGCCCTAAAAAACACTATATATGCCAATGTTCACCTGTTTTGTTTGTTTGTTTGTTTTTTAGGATTTTTGCCATAGGGCGCATGTGCTTACTAGAGAGAAATAGAGAAACTGAGAGAGGGAAAGTGAGAAATCACCCCCCCGGGGGGGGGTGACCATGTAGCAATCCCTTCTCTACCATTCTCTTCTTGGGATCTCAGGTATGTACACACACCTACCTGCTGTGATTTTCAAGCCATTGGGTTGAACTGCCATGTGGGAGTCCAGTGCCTTAACCCTGACTTGTTACCTGTCCCCTGGGGAATTGAAGCTCTTAATAAAAAAGCCTAAAGTCTAAACTGGCCATATGATATGAGATACATCCAAAAACTTCACCAACTCTTTTTGGACCATTGGAGAACATTGTGAACCAGGAATCGGCTGAATCATTTAGAAATTGATTATTAGGCATATAATACTCAGAGCTATGATTCATGGAGCAATTTATTTACTAGCATGTTTCATGCATGGTGCCAGAATTTGAATTTTCTTCTGGCAGATAGCCTAAGTGAGTTATCTCCCAACCACCCTATGAGATAAGTACTACTTTATTCCCATTTTAAAGATAAGAAAGCTGAGTCTTGAAAAAGTGAGGTTATTAAGTAGTGAAGCTAGGAATAAAACCCAGACAGATTGACTTCAGAATTCAAGCTTTGGGCCAGCCAGTGGCATGGTGGTGAAAGTGGTTGGATCCCACACAGCTGACTGTGTGGTTCAAGTCCTAGACCTGGTGAGAAACATACTGGATGTATGTGCATGTGTGCCCAATCCTGAAAGGCAGGAGAAATGGAGGAGAAGGGATTGTAGTATGATTATCTCCCATGGAGGGATGGTTTCTCACCTGTCCTTCCTCTCTGTCTCTCGCCAATGAGATTAAAAATAAAACCCAAGCTCCTACTTTTTATATTTTGTCCCATTGTTACAAAATATTTTAAAGCATTTTCACAAAGTAGGGTGAGGGTTAGAATAGCTTACTGTAGGTAGAAAGGGACCTGCCCAAGGTCAAATGGTGGCAATCAAGAATAAAGCCAATATCAGAACTTCTAGGCAAGCCAAGTATTCTCTGTCAATCAGATTTCATGGTTTCCCATATCATAGAATGCAAATCAATTTTCAAAAAGTTGACTTAGGGAACCAGCAGTTAGCGTAATGGCTATGTCGCTGGACTCCCACGTAGTCGACCGTGGTTCGCGTTCCGGACTCGTTGGCTTAAAACTCACGCCGGGCGCGTGTGCGTGCATGCCCAAGATCCCGAGAGGAGAATGGAGGAGAAGGGATTGCGGTGTGACCATCCCCCCTGGGGGGTGATTTCTCGCTTTCTGTCTCTATGTCTCTCTCTGTCTGGCGAGCGCACGCGCCCTATAGTGAAAATCTCTCAAAAAAAAAAAAAAAGGTGACTTAGAAAAAGATTTGTTTTCACCAACAAACATCACTCATATCTCTGCTGCTTCATCCTCATGGATGTCTCGGAGCCTCTATGTGGGTGTCAGAGCTAAAAATATTTCTGGTTAAGCTCTAGTCTTATAGATTCTGGCTGGCCAGAGTCCTTGAACAGGGCTAGCAAATGCTGTCTCTCTGGGACTGCAGCAATGACAGCTCCAGATGCAATCAGATCTGCCTTGACTGCAACACTGCATTTGTTACTGACAAGAGACCTGGCACTCACAGGAAGCAGCCTGCCAAAGCCAGACTGCTTTTCAGCTCAAAGGAGGCCTGCAGTGTGTATCCGCTGAAGTTATGTCCCAATCCCCATGCCATTTCAAAATGGAGCCATTTCTTTCATCCTCTTCCCCTGCAGGCCTGCTCAGCTCCAAGGGCATTAGGGTATGACAGTGATTCAAATCCCAAGGAGAAAGAGCACTCATATGTATTATGCCTTTCCTCATGCATGTTCCAAATTCATTCCCAAATAGTATAGTTTCAACAACGCTTTCTGTCGACACCATGTAATGAATGCATAGTGGGGTGGCGGTTGGGGGCTACAGTTATTCATCGGAGCTGCGGTTAAAGCACAGGGAAATGCAGTATCGGGGCTATGACGCTGAAGGTTGCAACCGTTCCTTTTATGAAGCAATAAGAATGGGTGAAAGGTGCATTTACCTTTGACTTAGAATACCTGGGGTCCATAATCTATCCCCACCTTTACTGCTGTTTCTGGTTTTCCGGATATCAGGATGTAGCACAAGTATCTGGCCCTTTGTGGGTGAGCTCAGGTGATCTGTAAGTGCAGTTCTCACCCTCTTCATCCCCCCATCTCCCCCTTGCCACCCAGCCCTGCAGTAACCTCACCTGAACTGAAACTGAGCACCGCAGGATTGTCTCAAGCAGACAGAAGGCTGCGCAGAAAAGCCGCCTACCTCATCACTCATCAAAGCTCTCTTGTTCTGTGTTTTTTTGGTGTCTGATTACAAGGGTGTTGAGGGGAAAGATCTGCAGAGGTCATGTCAGGCATCTGGTTCTTGCCAGGGATTTCTGGGTCTCTTAAAGGCAATAGCCCTTTTCGAGACTATTCCTAGAGGCAGCTGTCCCCCTTTTTAGGTATTAATTAAGCTGGAAGTAGCAGCCATTGGGTGGACAAATTGTGGGTGGAGAGGACATTCAAATGTTCACTAATATTACTTACAACTTGTGCACCAAGTAAGAATCAGGGCCTCTTAAAGTGAAAAGGCTCTCCAGGTACTGAGTCACTAGCAGATGGACAAAGGGAGACAGAGAGGCAGTGAGGCTGTCTTTAGACCTGCAGTTCACTTAAGACTTTGTCTTAAATAATCTCACTAACCTGGAGGATAGAAAGGAACACTTAGATGGATGATACCCATCCCCTGCCGGAAAAATAAAATAAAATAAAAATTAAAAAATAAATAAATAAACAGGGAATTAGGCAAAGTACCATGACACCTATTAAGGTCTGAAAGTAGGCCACTCCAAAGTTGTCTTGTCCGAAGAACCTGCATTTCAAAGGTGCCTCTGAGATGTATGAGTTGTTCTAAGAAGCCCCCAACCACTTCCAGCCAGCATGGATTTCCATACTTGCCCAGGCACCTCAAAGAACAGGCACAAACACAAACTGCATCCCATCCTTGGGCACACCTCTAGGCCCCTGATGGAGAGCATGTATCTACTGAATGCTTTATATGCTTTTATATGCAATCACCTCAATTCTCACGAATAGCCCATAAAGTATCCCCGACTATCCTAATTGCACAGTTGAAAAAAACCTTAGACCCACTAAGTAATCCACAAAGGGTCATATAATTAGGTGCAAGTGGGTTGAGGCTAGATTAAGGTTTGTCTGACTTGTCAAAGAGGTCCACAATAGGGCAGGAAACAAAAACCCAACAAATAGAACGCCAGCTTGGAGCCTCTCAAAGTATTTTTGGGTAAATTGGGAACTAGAGCTCTTGCTCCCTGGAACATAGACTTGTCTACCTTCCAGTTGAGGGGTGATTCAGATCCCCCAGGGTCAAGTTTGGACTAGCCCCTGACTCACTAAACTAGCCCATGTTTTGACCAGTCCCCAACTGGACTGGATCCCTTCCCTGTTTCCTAGATCTACTCCACACGGCAGCTACAGAGGAAGTGCTTTTCTTGTCCTGTGAGCGCGCCCTGAGGTCTGCCAGTAAGCCCAGTGGACAGAGACAGTAAGAGAGTGAAATCCCCGCCCTTGACCCAGGAAAAGAAGTGGCTCTCTGACAAATACCACCCGCCACTGTAGTTATTTGAGATATGACACCAGTGAGCATCCCTGTCTCCCCACAACCCATCTTGAAAGAGAAGCCTCCCTTGCTTCCATCCTGAGGGCATGTGCACTGACGTTTAAGGAGACTCTCACCCCCCACCCCTAGACATACAGTTCCAAGACAGAATAGTTGCTCTGTCCAGGAAAGAATGTGCTGCCTCAGTTTTGCTGCTGCTGCTGCAAGGACAAACAATGGTCCCCAAGAAGGCAGCTGTGCCAGCCCCAGACCTCTGTTCATGCACATGAGGGGCAAGAGACAATAGGCCACTGAATGCCAGCACACTTGGGCCATGTGCCCAGGCTGGAGGCTCTCTGCATCTTGACCTACCAACAAGCCACAATGGCAGCAAAAAAGAAAGGGGCGATTTATAAAATCATGGAGAAATTCCTCCCATGTGCTGAGGCAAATATGCACGTGTGCACACTCAAAGACACACACCACTCACACCACCCACACCACCCACACCGTGAAGGCATTACAAATCCACTCTCCATTTGGATGAGAGTTCTAGAGAGCTTTGGGGATAATGGGCTCCTTGCAGGGTCTTTCCCT